TCGTGGGGAGGGCATCACCCAGTCGTACACCCTACCAGACTCCCCGCAGTTGAATGAGGTCACTGAGCGACGCATCGGTATGGTCATGCAGGTGGCTCGTACCTCCATGATTCATGCCGATGCACCTCATTTTCTGTGGCCGTTTGCCGTTCGCTACGCCGCTCACCAGCTTAACCTCTGGCCGCGCTCCCAGCGGCCGCAGGTTTCGCCGACCCTTCTTTGGAGGGGGTTCTTTGGTGACGCGTCTGCGTTCCACGTCCGGGGCTGCCTCGCTCACGTTTGTGCCTCTGGCGCGAACAAGCTCACTGCCCAAACTGTCCCCTATGTCTTCCTCGGTTTCCCTCTTGACTCGTCTGGCTGGCACTTTTACCACCCGCCGTCTCACCGCTTCTTTCACTCGCGTGACGCCACTTTCGACAAGTCTGTGTCCTTTTACCCACCGCTTTTCCCACTGCGGTCTCCGGGTTTCCCCTCCCCTGTTTCTGGTCCCCACTCCCCCCGTCGCCCCTAGTCCCGTTCCTCCCCATCCTGCTGCGTCTGGTGTGTCTCACATCACTCTCCTCCCGTCAGTAGTCCCAGTTGAGGAGTCGGCTCACTCTGGTGGCCCTGTGGCGCAATCGTAGTCGCCGCCGCATAGCAGCCGTCACCACCACCGCCGCCGCCGCCGCAGCAGCCGCCAACGCCGCCGCAGCAGCAGCCGTTCATGGACTCTGGGGTGCAGGCGTTGAGGAGGGTGCTAGTCGTGGGGTTTCTGTCGTGGTTTGTCCCGGCGGTCCTTGGGGTGGCAACGGTGCTGGAGAGGGTTCTCGTTCAAGGAGTGTTGTGGAGGTAGTCGCGGTGCAGCTGGCGGTCTTGGTGTCGGCATTGAGCAGCAGTAGCAACAGTCGACGTCGGTGTCGGCAGTTCGCCTGCTCGGCCTTCCTTCCCCTAACTGCTTGCCTGCGCTTCCCCCGCCGCTCCTCCCCTTCCTGTCTATGGCCCTGTGTTTCCTCCGCCACTTGTCCCCCGCCTGTTTCACTCCTCCTCTGTCTCCTGACGCGACGCCTCCGACTCACGTCTGGTCTCGTCGTCCCTCTCGTCCTCGTCCTGTCTCTCCTGTTCCATGTTCTCACCCTATGTTGGCTCGTTTGCACGCGTCTTGTCCTCCCCTCCTGCCTTCCCCTCCTCCGTTGTCGCTCGCTATCGCGCCCCCCCCTTTGTCTGACTACCTAAGTGTTGCCCGTCCTCTTGTTCCTCGGGTCCTTGCCTCTCTCGTTACCGACCCGTTTGTTCCTATCTCGAGTATTGACGCTCTTGTCGCTGCTGTCGCTGACTTCGCCTCTACCCGCCGCTTTGACTACGCCACCGCTCTGGTCTCTGACCCTGTCTGTCCTACGTCCGTCGGGGGTGCGCCTGCCCTTGGCAGTGACGTCCTAGAAGACAGGCAATACGAGTTTGGTTTCCTGTCGGAGGCTGCTCCCCATCTCTGTTCCATGCTGCTAGTCCCTGAGGGTGACCCAGACGCCTTTGACGTCCCGACCCCTCGCACTTACGCTGAGGCGACCCTGGGACCATGGGCCACTCATTGGATAGCTGCCATGGAGTAGGAGATGGCATCTTGGAGATCCACTGGCACCTACGTCGACGCAGTTCCCCCACCTGGGGTGAACGTAGTCGATGGCCGGACTCTTCAAGGTGAAGCGCCCGCCTGAAGAGCCGCCTGGGTTAAAGGGGGTGCTACGTGGCTAGAGGATTCAATCAACGAAAGGGGGTGGGCTCTTTCAGACCTTCCCCCCGACCACGAAGATGACTGCTCTTCTGGCGCTGCTATACAGCGTGACTACGAGCTCCACTCCCTCGACTTCTCCACTGCTTTTCTTCAGGGCAGTCTACACGAGCAGGTCTACCAGAGTCGTCTTTAGGGCTTCACCAGTACCTTCCCACCTGGGACCCAATGGCTCCTCCGGTGCCTGGTCTACGGCCTGCGAGAGATGCCCCGTGAGTGGCACGACACGTTGCGTGCTACACTAACTGACCTGCAGTTCTTTCTGTCCTCTACAAACCCCTCGCTCTTTCGTTCGTGCTGGGGAGACTCCGCTCTACATCCTTGTCTACGTAGACGACTTGGTCTTCGCTACTGCAGACAGAGACGCGCTAGCCCCCGTGAAGGCTTAGCGCCAGAGGAGACATACCTACACTGACCTAGGAAAGCTGTGCCGGTATCATGGCCTGCAAGTCTCTAGGGACTGAACAGCACGCACCATCAGTCTCACATAGTCACACTTGGTGCGCCAGGTCCTTCAGAGTCTCGGTCTTTAGTTCTCCTCCACAGAGCCCACACCTAGATCTCGCATACCCTCTCAGCATCCTGGCTAACTTTGTGGCCACAGGCAGACACCAACCACAGCACTGGTCGGCCGCTAAGAGGGTTTTGCGTTATCTAGCGAGTACATCGGGCATGGGGCTAGTGCTGGGAGGACGCAGGCCAGTGGTCCTTTCATGGCACATAGACGCTTCTTGGGCAGACGATGCTGAGACCCTCAGGTCCTCCCAGGGCTACTGCTTTAGCCTTGGTTCAAGTGCCATCTCGTGGAGGTCCACTCGCTCGTCGTCTGTTGCCCAGTCTAGCCGTGAGGCTGAGATCTAAGCCGGTGCCATGGCGGCACAGGAGCTCTGCTGGCTGACCTTCTTGCTCGTCGACTTAGGTGAGCAGCCTAGCTCTGCCCCGGTTCTGTACGCTGACAACAGGGCCATGATTCTCCTGTGTCAGGAGCCACGACTTGAGTGCAGAGCGAAGCACATCCAGCTGCGGTACTTCCTCCTGCACAAGCTACAGCAGCATCACCAGGCCCGCGTAGTACACTTTGGCCTCCGGTGCCAACACAGCTGATATCTTTACTAAGGCGCTTGCGCCTAAAGATCATCAGCGGCACTGCTTGCAGCTTGGTCTGGTTCCTGTAGACTCTCACCTGCTAGGACCTTGATTGTGTACTCCTCTTTATTTAAACCTTCCAGACCGGCCTTGTGGCTTCTCTCCCTGTGGCCGGGCAAGTAGTGCTGCCTCGGTTTGCTCTTGTCTTGTTTGTACTCTTGCTGACTGGTCTTCGGACCCTTGCCTCAGAGGTTGGACTAGTAGTGCCACCCTGAGTTGCCCGTATCTTGCTCAGCAAAACCCCTTTTCTAGCATAGGGGGTGTGTCAACTTATATATATGTTGTTATGTAGAAGTTTTAGCCTAGATAGGTGTATGTTCTTGGAGGGTACAACTCCAAACCCATATTTCCCTTGTTCACCCTTGCTTCTAGTCATTCTTGTATTCTAACAGTATCTTACTGGTGCTAGCAATGTATGGTCGAAGTAATCGCACGTGGAATGATGGGCTGACGTTCTAGGTGGCTGGTGGCAGTAGATTGGCTGTAACTATGATAGGATCGAATAGGTCGAGAAAAAATTGCTCTATGGATTGATACAAGGCGCTTTATATTTCCAAGGTACATCAGGTAACCAAGTTTATCTTATCCAAATGGAATAGACCCTTCTAGAAAAAGAATCACCCTGTGTACAGCCATGCGAGACTGTTGGCTTTTACGAATTACAGCACGATTACGCTAGATATAGCGCGCCAGTACATCCCGAGCCTGGTCGGTGATATAATTATTATATTATGATAAACCAAAGGATAATGGAAAATAAGGAATAGGAAACAAAATGAGATGAGATAAAGATCAAAGGAATCTAGATTAAAACAAGAATGAGATAGAGGAAAAATTTGGACATGAAAAGACGTGTAACATGGTCGTACTCTCACACTTCCCCCCCTCAAAGCTGGGTGGTAGAAGTAACACCCTGCTTGAAAAGGTAGTCGCGAAGAGGACGATGAGCGTTACCCATCTCAGATTCAGGAACCCAGCTATCCTTTGAAGGATCATAACCCTTCCAACGAATGAGAAGCTTCACGGTGCCATTCCGACAACGGCGGTATGCAAGCACGGACTCGACCTCGTACTCGTGTTCACCGTGGACAAGGACGGGCGGCAGCGGTGGCGGCTGGCGTCCGGTGAAGACCGTGTCAAGATTGCAGGTGTCGAGTAGAACCTGGTCTCCCACGGTGATGGTATGGTCAGTTCGGTGGCGATCGGCCTGGCGCTTCTGTTGCTGCCGAATGTAGAGTAGGCGCTTGTGGGTCTGATCCCAAAGCTAATGCATAGTCGTAATGAAGTCGTGTGCGGGTTGGACTGTGACTGATACTGTTGGTTTCTGTGGCATGAGTGGGCTGCGTCCGTAACAGAGGAAGAACGGCATCTGTCCAGTAGCAGCGTGGGTGGCGTTGTTGTAGGTAAACTCCAGGACGGGTAGATGCAAGTCCCACTTAGAGATTTGATCCTTTCATGCTGCGCAGAGGAGTTGCTCGACAATTTGGTTGAGACACTCGGTCTGTCCATCTGTCTGTGGATGATAGGCGGATGAGAAGGCGAGTTTGGTCCCGAGCAGAGACATCAGCTCCTTCCAGAACTTGCTGGTGAACTTCGGGACTCGGTCAGAGATGGGTGTGGTTGGAATGCCGTGCTGTGAGATGATGTAGCGAACGAACAGTTGTGTTGTCTCCTCGGTACGTGTTGTCATGTGTGTCAGGATGAAGTTTCTGCCAATGGAATTTCGGGGTCAGTGGTGTACCCGTGTGTGAAGAGTCCCTTAAGTAGTGGATTCATCCCTTCGAGCTGGATAGCGGCAACGTGTGCAGGCCGGCTAAGAGTATCTGCTTGTTTTTTTTGCCAGACTTGTACACGATGTTGTAGTGGAAGTGCGTCTCGAGGAAGTCGATCCAACGAACCTGCCGTCTGGAGAGTTTTGGCTGTGTCTTCAAATATTTCAGGCTGCAGTGGTCAATGTAGATGGTTGTTTTTTGTCCTTCGAGATAACATCTCCACGTTTTGAAGGCGATGATAAGAGCAAGGGATTCTTTGTTGTGTATCGAGTAGTCTAGTTCTGCCCCGTGCAATTTTTTTCTGAGGAAGGCGATTGGTTGCAGTCCATTCCCCTGGTCTTACATCAAGATTGCTCCCACTGCCTGGTTGCTAGCGTCAACTTCGATAACGTAGTCGCGTTCAGGGTCTGGCAAGATGAGTACTGGTGCGGACGTGAGTTCTTGTTTCAGCAGCTCCACGGCTTCCTCATGTCTTGGTTCCCACTTATAGGGCGTGTTCTTCTTCAGCAGATTCATGAGTGGTGCGGCGATTTTCGCGTACTGTGGCACGAACCGGTTGTAATAGGTAGCGCAGCCTAGGAACTGCTGTAACTCCTTCATGTTCTCGGGTGTCTTCCACGTGCGTACGGCTTCGATTTTCCTGGGGTCGACGTGAAATCCTTGAGCGCTCACCATGTGTCCTAGGAAGTGGACCCTTTTGAGGGCGAATTCGCTCTTGGACAATTTGACGTAGAATCGTTCTTGTCGACGAATGTCGAAGACGCGTCGCAGGTGTTCGACGTGTTGCTTCATTTCGCGCAAGTAGATGAGGATGTCATCCAGGTAAATCACCATGCATTCGTCTAAGAGTGGACGTAGAATGTGGTTCATTTCGGCTAGGAATGTTGCCGGTGTGTTGGTGAGTCCGAACGGAATTACCAGATAATCGTACGACCTGTACCGAGTTCGGAAGGCAGTTTTGTGGATGGAATTGTCCGCCTTTCTTATCTGCCAATATCCGGACCACAAATCTAGTTTGGAAAATACCGTCCCTCCCCGAAGCTGCTTAGGCAGGTCATCGATTTGTGGAATCGGGTACTTGTTCTTGATGATCTGCTTGTTGAGAGCTCGGTAATCGATGCACATGCGCAGGCTTCCGTCCGATTTTGGTGTGAAGAGTACTGGGGCACCGTATGGCCATGTGGATGGTCGGATGAGCCCTTTGGCGAGGAGATACTCGATGTGTTTCTTCATGCCGGCTAGCTCTATGGGGCTGAGGCGATATGGTGCTCGGAAGGTCGGCTTCGAACATGGTTCTTCCACGATCTCGTGTTGGTGCGTTCAGTATGGCGGTAGGTCATTTCGGAAGGTCGTCGGGAAGGATGTCTTGGAACTCCTTCAGTAATTCCTTGATTTTTTCTAGAGGTTCCGAGGTTTTCTTTCCGTCATCTTCCACATCTGTTGCTATCGCCAGGAACCCGGTGTCGGCTCGTTTCACGTCCTTCTCAAACATAGCGAGTGTCTCCAATGGGATTTCTCCTGTGTCGTCCCATTTGGGTAGTTGGACTCTCCTTCCGTTGTTGTAGATGCTTGCGGTACGGTTTACCCAGTTGATCTCGGGGTTGAATTTCTTAAGGATGTCTCGCCCGAAGATCAAGTCAAGCCCTTTTATGCTGGTGATGGGGAGTGCACGTTTCCAGCGCAGTGGACCGATTTGTAGGTGTAACACCGTTTTGCCGTAGACTGGTAACTTGTTGCCGTCCACCATCGTTGCAGAGAATGTTGAAGGCTTGTACTCTTCCTAAAGTCGTTCGTTTGTTGCCTTGTCGCATACTGTGTGTGACGCTCCACTGCCCACGAGTGCTTGGAGGCATCGTCCTTTACAGATGACCTTGAGCACGCTCCATCGTTTGATTGGCCCGTTTGGTCTAGCCGTCAGTCTCGGGATGGAAGGCGGAGAACTGCAGGCGCGTGCTGAACTGTTCCCAGAGGTTACGCCAAAAGTTACTGGTGAATTTTGTGTCACAATCCGAAATGATGGGATTCCGTGGAGGTGAATGACGGTCGAGTTGAAGAGTCGGGCTTTTTCTTTGGTTGAGATGCTTTTCTTGCAGGCGGCGAAGTGGGCCATCTTTAGAAACTTATCGATGACGATAGATATCGCGTCCTTACTGCCGTCCTTGGCAAGCAATCCCGTGATGAAATCCATCGTCACCTGCTGCCACGCGCGCTCAAGTGGTGGAATCGGACGCAACTATCCAACTGGCTTCTGCTTCGATGATTTCATGGTTTGGCAAGTCCAACACAAAACCACATGCCGCTGCACGTCCCCTTGCATGTCGGGCCAGAAATAGTATTCGGTCAGCTGCTGCAGACCGAAGTGGTAGCCATACTTTTGAAGTGCCTTGAAACGGTACTGTCGTGAGCTTTCTATTAAAGCAATTCTTGTAGTAGACTATACTCTGGTATCCAGATGCAGTCAGACCTTGTCTTTACGTAATAAACTCCCTTGTTGCGAGCTGTTCATACGCACCCGACGTAAAGAATCTGTCCATCTAGTACCCGTGGGTACAATAAATAGACTTGTTAATAGCAGGGAAGTTTGGGCAAGGATTATGGAGTTGAGATGGGCGGATGGGCGAGAAAGGGGTCTGCAATGTTGGATGCCCCTTTCTTGTAGGTGACCGTGTAATGGAAGTTGGAGTCCATAAAATCCAACCACCGAATCTGTCATGGGTTGAGTAGTGACTGTGCACGGATGTACTGTAGGCTTCGGTGGTCTGCCTGTACTATCATGTCTATGCCTGTCAGGTAGCACTGCCACACTTTGAACACGTGCACGATTGCGAGCATCTCCATATCATGTACCGGATAGTTTCGCTCGGGCCGGTGCAGCTTTCGTAACTCGTACGCGATTGGCTGTAGGCCTTCGCCAAAGTCCAGTAACGGTACTGCTCCGATGGCGATGTCGCTGGCTGTCGCAAAACTGGTTTGCCTCCCATTTCTGCAACAGGTATTTAAGCAAATAGTTTTAGAGCATAGCGGTGTAGCTGGACAGAGGGGTGTGATTGCTCGCAAGGATGAAGGTTCGGCAAGAACCAGTTCGGACCGAACCATCAACACTTACCAAGGAGGAAGGGCAACGGGGTGAATCCAAGGTGACGAGGAAGCGGTGTTCTACTTGGGCGAGGGGAGTGCAATTGGCAGGACCAAGGGATCAGGTTGGGTGGCGTCTGGAGGAGCTTGTACAGGAATGACATATGCATGCTTGCGAATGTGTACCATAGCATGGAATGCCTGAAGCAGTCGACAAGATGGGGATCCGTCCCGCTTCACTGGATCCTTTGCCTAGCAGTAGCAATTGTAAATAGGGTAGCTGCTAGCGTTCTGAATCCTATTCGTTTGTTTGTTTCTTGCATTTTTGAATAAAGTCTCACTTAACCAAGTGACTTGTTCGAAGGCAGGAGATAGTTGAGAGGGAGGCTAGGGCGTGGCTATGGTAGCTCGGATGTGGTAGCCATACTTTTCAAGTGGGCAGACATTATCAAACACCACCGAAGAGCACTTGCGAAGAAGCTAGAGGAGCATAGAAGGAAGAGTAGGGGAGGGAGCCGACGGTCCAGGGGAGCCTTCAGGATGCCATTTGTCGATATGGTGTCTGTGATGACTTTGAATGGATGGTGAGGATCGGTGATGCAAAGGACAGGGGCTGAGCACATAAAAGTTTTGAGCACGGAGAAAGCAGCTTGCTCTTTCTCCCCCCAGCTATAATCAGTCCCTTTCCACAGTAGGTTAGTCTATAGTGCAGTTACCCCTGCCATATTCAGGATAAATCTCCGAACATAGTTTACGAACCCTAAAGAACTTTGCAGCTTCTGCAGGTTCTTAGGCGGTAGGTAGGCTTGCACTATCTCAATCTTGTGCAGGTCCACTTCGACGCCCTTAGTGGAAATAAGGGTCTAAGGACATGCTCGAAATAACGTTCCAAAAATACTAAACAATCTTTTAAAAACTCAAACCTAGACCCCTCCGTGATTAGCCGATGCTCCAGCAGTAGCATGAAACTGCTTCGAGGTCCTTTAAGTGTTGCTCCCGGGTCTCGCTGTAGATCAGGATGTTGTCTAGGTAGACTATAACACACTTTTCTACGAGTGAACTGAAGATCTGGTTCATGGTCATCTGAAAAGTTGCCAGGGTGTTCGTCAACCTGAAGGGCATAACTACATGCTCGAAACTTTCGTACCAAGTGCGAAACGCAGTCTTGTGACAGTCAACTGCGACTACGCGAATCAAATGGTAACCCCCTCGTAAATCTATGTTGGCGAAGAAGCGAGCTTTGCGAATTTGGTCAATCAATTTGTTGGTGCACGGGATAGGGTAACACGACTTGATACTCACCCTGTTTTGTGCTCTGTAGTCAATGCACATTCGGTACCCACCGTCCTTTTTCAGGGTGAGCAGTATGGGGGCGGCAAATGGCGAGAAGCTCGGGCGGATGATTTTTTTAACTCCTTCCGTAATTCATGTACCTCCGGCTGTGTTAATCGAAATTGCCCCTGATTCTAATTCGATTCTATTGTTGAATGGCCGTTCCGGTGGTAATCCTTCGTCTGGAAATATCTGCAAAAATCTGCGAATCAGAGAGGGTTCCCATCTTAGCGTGGAGCGTCCCGGAGGTAGCCGTTGTGCAGCTCGAGGTTTTGGTGTCAGCGCGGAGCCGCAACAGCAACAGCAGTCGCCGCCGGTGTCCGCCCTTCGCCTCCTCGGTCTTCCCTCCCCTGACCACCCGCCTGCGCCTCCCTTGTCGTCGCCTCCCCTGCCTGTCTACGACCCAGTGTTTCCTCCGCAGGACTCGTCTCCGACTCGTTTCCCCCCTCGTTCTCCTCCTCTTTCTCCACCCTTGTCTCCTGACCCGACCCCACCCTCCTGCTAGTGGTCTCGCCATTCCTCTCATGCTCGTCCTGTCTCTCCTGCCCCACGTTCTCACCCTATGTTGCTTCGTTCCCACGCGTCTCGTCCTCCCCTCCTCCTGTCCTCTCGTCGCTTTGTTGTCGCTCCGCCTCCTCTCTCTGACTTCCTTTGTGCCGCTAGTCCTCTTGTTCCTCGAGTCCTTGCCTCCCTCCTTACCGACCTGTCTGTTCCTGTCTCTAGTCTTGATGCTCTTGTCGCTGCTGTCGCTGACTTTGCCTCTACCCGCCGCCGTGACTACGTGACCGCTCTGGTCTCGGACCTTGCCCATCCTCCGTCCTTTGGGGGTGTTCCTGCCCTTAGCAGTGATGTCCTGGAGGACCGGCAGTACGAGCTCGCTTTCCTGTCCGAGGCCGCTCCTTATCTCTGCTCCATGCTCCTAGTCCCTGAAGGTGAACCAGATGCCCTTGGCATTCCGACCGCTCGCACTTACACTGAGGCAACCTCGGAACCCTGGGCCTCTTAGTGGATAGCTGCCATGGACGCGAAGATGCCATCTTGGAGATCCACCGGCACCTACGTTGACGCAGCTCCCCCACCTGGGATGAACGTAGTTGAAGGTGAAGTGCCCTCCTGAAGAGCCGCCGGTATTCAAGGCATGCTACGCTGCTAGAGGTTTTAGTCAACGCGAGGGTGTTGACTTCTTTCAGACCTTCGCCCCAACCCCGAAGATAACCACTCTTCGGGCGCTCCTACACGTAGCAGCACAACCTACGAGCTGCACTCCCTCAACTTCTCCAGTGCATTTCTCCAGGGCAGTCTGCACGAGCAGGTCTACCTTCGCCGTCCGCATGGCTTCACTGGAACCTTTACCCTTGGGACCTAGTGGCACGTCCGACGCCCGGTTACGGCCTGTGGCAGGCGCCCCGTGAGTGGCACGACACGCTGCGTGCTAAGTTAGCTGACATGCATCTCTTCGTTCGTTCACGCCATACCCCATTCTACAGTGACGGAATAAACTGTATTCAATGTTGGGCTTGTTATCAAATAACTTGTTTTTAACCATGTTGGGGGTATGTAGCTGACCACAAAGTGTTGGTGACATAAAATGTGGGTGGTTTAGGGTAGTGAAAAATGTATTGGTAGTTGCTAATATCGAATCAGCAATAACAAGTACACTAAAAAAGCCACGATGGTCCATGCGGACACTTACTTCCTGCCGAGACTCTAGAACCATTTCGACCTTGCATTTCACCCTCGGTATAGGATAGGCATCGAGATCTTGCCCACAGCACGACTAGATCCTAAGCAAGTATCAGAATAGGATGCGCCCTATCAAGTCATGCATTAGAGAGAGAATTATGACCCTATTGCGCCAGGGTCTAAGCATTCGTAAAATCGCTCGCATGTTAGACTTAGGCAAGAGTACTGTCCAGAAATATGCTGAGTTGGCATGTCATCGTGACGGTCGCCTGGCTGTTAGACCGACCGCCCTCAAAACGGTCGGCCAAGCCTGCTCTCCGTGCGGATGCGACGGGGGCTTGTGCGTGCTGTGACTTCTGGCGCCGCGAAAACGAGTGCAGAGGCGGCTATGCAACTCGAGTCGGAGCTGGGCATCAAGGTGTGCCCTCGAACGGTTCGAAACGCACTGAAGCAGTCCGGCCTCGTCGCTGTACAGCAACCGAAGAAACCGCGACTCTCGGCGCGGAACATTCGGGACAGATTGGAATTCGCACGAGCCCACCTGGATTGGACGATCGAAGACTGGAAGCGGGTAATCTGGTCTGACGAGACCAAAATCAACCGCTTCTGCAGTGATGGCCGCACCTATGCATGGATCCGCGACGGCACGGCCCTTCAAGGGCATCAGGTAAAACAGTATGTGAAGCATGGGGGCGGATCCTTAATGGTATTGGGCTGTATGTCCTATGATGGGCCCGGGTTCATGTGTAAAATTGAGGGGCGCATGGATGGGCAGCTGTACCGCTCGATCCTGCAAGACGAGCTCTCTCAAACGATCGACTATTACTCGCTGACCGCATGTGATGTGATTTTCCAGCATGATAATGATCCAAAGCATGCAGGAGTTCCTCTCTGAGCAGCCATATGCAGTCCTGCAGTGGCCTTCTTCCTCCCCTGACCTTAATCCCATTGAACACCTTTGGGCTCACCTCAAACGTGAGCTTGCAAAGTATGAACGCCCCCCTAAAGGCATGCTGCAGACTTGGGAGCGTGTGCAGGAGACTTGGGAGGGTATCTCCGCTGATGTCTGTAGGGGACTGATAGATAGCATGCCCAGGAGGATTAAGGCTGTTGTTAGGGCAAAGGGGATATGGACTCGTTACTAATTCAGGACATTGCAATGCCTTGTTTGAATTGGGAACAAACTGTCCGAATGTACCCTGTATAATTCTGCCTTCACAACTTCTATTTTACTAGTCTTAAATGGGCAAGTGGCTGCAGCAAAGATGTGCTAGGCTCTTTGTCTACCAACCTCAAATGACCAGGATAACTCTACACTCCTAATATTCATGTTTTATACATTTTACGTACAAAAATGGCCAACATGCGGACACTTTGTTCCGTCACTGTACATCCTTGTCTACATAGACGACCTGGTCTTCGCCACTGCAGACAGAGAGGCACTGGCCTCCATGAAGGCTGAGCTACTGAGGAGACACACCTGCACTGACCTAGGAGAGCTGCGCCGCTACCTTGGCCTGCAGATCTCCAGTGACAAAGCAGTGCCCGCCATTATTCTTGCACACTAACACTTGGTGCGCCAGGTCCTTTAGAGGTTCGTTCTTCAGTTCCCCTCCGCATAGCCCACACCTCTGCCAGTAGATCACAGGCTCTCGACTCCGGTCCTTGAGGAGTCTGTAAAGCCAAGTGGTCCTTACGCAGAGCTGGTGGGTTGCCGCATGTACCTGATGACTTGCACTCGTCCAGATCTCGCATACCCTCTCAGCATCCTGGCTTGCTTTGTGGCCACAGGCACACACAGCACTGGTCGGTCGCTAAGAGGGTTTTGCGTTATTTAGCAATACATCGGGCATGGGACTAGTGTTAGGAGGATGCAGGCCAGGTCCTTACAGGGCACACAGACGCTTCGCGGACAGACAATTCTGAGACGTTCAGGCCCTCCAAGGGTTAATGCTTTAGCCTTGGTGCATCTCGTGGAGGTCCACCCGCTCGTCGTCTGTTGCCATGGCGGCACAGGAGCTTTGCTGGCTGACGTTCTTGCTCATTGACTTAGGTGAGCGGCCTCGCTCTGCCCCGGTGCTATACGCTGACAATAGGGCCATGAACCTCCTGTATCAGGAGGCTCAACTTGAGGGCAGAGCGAAGCACATCCAGCTGTGGTAATTCCTCCTGCGCGAGCTCCTGCAGCGCCGCCAGGCCTGGGTAGTTCACTTGGCCGCCGGTGCCAACACAACTGATATCTTTACGAAGGCGCTTGAGCTTAAATATCATCAGCGGCACTGTGTACAGCTTGGTCTAGTTACTGTAGCTTCTCACTTACTAAGACCTTGATTGTGTACTATCATATGTTATCTTGAATGGCCTTGTGGCTCCCGTTCCAATGGCTGGACTAGTAGTGCCTGTTAAAGGGAAATTAGGCGCTAGGTAGCCATGAGAGAGGGCGAGAAGTTTTAGCTAGAGAGAAGTTACGAGAGAGAAGACGGTCGTACTAGAAGAGAGAGGGATACAAGAAGGGTGTCGTACCCTCTACAGTAGGATTCAGTAATTGTAGCACACCTACCAGGCCTACAGAAATATATATATATATATATATATATATAATCTATAATTTGACAGTACTGCCCTGGGTTACTCTTGTTTAGTTTGTCATCTTGCTGACTGGTCTTCAAACCCTTGCCTCAGAGGTTGGACTAGAAGTGCCACCGTGAGCTGCGTGTCTCTTGCCAAGCACTGCCCCTCATCTAGCCTAGGGGGTGTGTCAAACATATTTGTGCAAGTTACTATAGGCTAGATAGGTGCATGCACTTAGAGGGTACAACACACTAGTACAAACCCACCTTGTGTCTCTCATTCTATTCATTCGTTAACTCTGATTTTGGACAGCGTCAACCTGAAGCCAAAAGATCAACGCTAACTTGACATTGGAGTTGTGACATGCTGAAGTAAAGGACGCGATGTTCAAAGGTTCAACATAATAAGCGGTCCATTGGATTCGTAGTGTTGTGCTGAACTCAAAAGCGTAGTCCAATGTAGCAACTGATTGACAGAAGGCTTACATTGATAGCTCCAAAGTCCTTGACATATGAAAGAATTTGTAAAACAGTGCAGAAGACTAAGTACAGAATCTGCATACACAAGTACTTAAAGTAGAAAGTAATACTAGAAGTACCTCTAGTAACAGCCCGTATTAACAAGTTGTAACACCAGAATTAGTGTTACAGCCTTTGTGATACTTCAAGACTTGAGCAAGGATCTTTGCTTGAATGGTATACTAGTAAGACAGCGGAAGTCTTAGAACTTGTAAGTGTTGACCAGAATTTACTGAAGAACAAGTTAATAACTAAAGTCATACAAGCTACTCTAATATCTACTAGAAGTACCTGTTCGGTAATGTACCTGTTCAGAACTACTTGCGCTATGCGCTCTAATCGCCAGTGAAAGGGGCGCAACTGTTCGCGTACCTGAAACGGCATGATGGCGTAATCATCCAGACGTGCGCTATTTGCTGACGTCATTCTACGGATGCTAGGTATAGTATAACTCGACAATATCTATTGGAACTACTTACAAAAATGCTATTACGATTTTATCACAACACTCCCTTCATTCTGGAAGTCCGATAGTGTCACTTCTTGATAATTCCGTAGAGTTCGTTGCAGTACTGGAACTTCTGACGTGTCAGCTTCTTGGTGAGGAAATCTGCAGCCATTTCATTGGTCGAGCAGTAGACCAATCGCATTCTCCCCTTCTCGACTTCATCTTTGATGAAGAAGTATCATAGCGAAATGTGTTTCATCCTGTTGGCGAAACCAGGTTGGTGGGCAATTCTGATTGCACTTTGGTTGTCGCACTGGAGGGTGAACTGTGTACTTGTCGTCAATTTTGCTTCCTCTAGTAGTTCTTGTAGATAGAGACCTTTGGAAGTATCTTCTGCATGGTCAGCGTCGACCATGAGATCTAGAGTTTTTGTAGTTGTGACTTGATAGGTAAGTCCAACTTCAGGTGTCGAAATGAAATACTGTAGAGCGTGAAGAAGATCTAGCCGATTATCCCCCTCAGGTCGACGCAAACGTTGTGCAAGCTGGCTAGTGGCATAGGTGAGGTCCGGACGACAAGTTACAGCTGCGAATAGAAGACAATCAGGCTGTTGCTGATAGAGTTGTAGTTCAGTGCTGTCAAGTGGAGTGGTTTCGGGGCTGTATTCCGTAGGTAGAGATCAGTAAGGTGTGGTAACGGTTGAAGGTGTGAGGTTAAAGCATGCGGCTAGGGTAGCAGCATATTTAGAAGCTGTAAAATGAGTAGTGGTTGGTGTGCGGTGAATGTTAAGGCCAAGAAACTCTGTGACAGTAGGTGTGATTGTGATCTGCAGATGTTGTTGAAGCGTTTGTTCGGAGGAATTAGCGAGGGCATCAGTTGTGCTGCTGTAGAGTAAGTCGTCGACATAGGCGACGAGGAGGATGTAGTCAAGATTGTCGGTGAGTAAATACATTCCTTGGTCGTGCGGGAGTTGACGAAACCCGGCAGTTAGTAACTGACTGTGTAGATACAGCTGACATAGGTGTGGAGCCTGATTAATGCCGTAGAGAGACTTTCTGAGACCAAAATGCGGGTACTCAACCAAAATTAATGCGTCGACAGGTGCATAGAGAAATGCATTGGCGACGTCGATTTGGTGATGTTTGAAGTTCCGGCAGGCCGCGATGCAGAGTAGGATGCAGACACTAGCGTGTCTGCCGACGGGAGCAAAGGTCAGCTCATAGTCGACTCCAAGAGTCTGCTCGAAGCCACGGACAACCCATCGTGGCTGTAATTTTTCAAAGGAACCATCGGCGTTCGTCTTCACACGAAAAACCCAGTTGTCGGTAAGTACCTTACTCCCTTTTGTTTCCTTCAGTGGGATAAGATCCCAGGTACCTCTCTTTTCCAGAGCTGCTAACTCCCGGTCCATGGCTTCTCGCCATTTTTCCCTGTGTTGACTTGTCAAAGCTTGGCGAACGGTTTCCGGCTCCGAAATCTTATTGTTGTTTGACTGTAGTGCGACTGCGAATCCCAATACCTGTAACCCAGTTTTTGTAAAACAAGGATGGTTTGAGTTGACAGCGGAGAAGTTGTGTTCTGACCCCTGTTCCCCCCAAATTTCTTTAGGTGTCAAACGAATAGCTGGTTTGGAAACAACGGGCATGGGCTGCTGCTGGCGATCACGTTCGTAATCAAGATCAACATCTCGAACATCTTCAGAGTCTGCTTCGCCAAGGGGAATAAACTCGGCAGTTCCAGCTGACGTGGTTGGCACGGGGATGTCGGTGGCCGCTTCGGAAGACTCGGCAACTGAGTCATCCTGTACATCTACCTCAGCTTCGTCGGTAGCAAAAGCACGCAAGCCTTCGAACAGCCAAGCAGGATTGGCAACTGCTGCCTGTGTTAGGATTAAGGACGGAGTCTAGGTGAACTTAGGAGCTAGAATTACTCAAAATATAAATCCGAAATTCTGGACAGAAAAGTCGTCTTTACAAGAAACGACGTCGACGAAAAACTAGCCGTTGGAATGTCGCGAAACTTGGATATGTTGTAGCTCTTAATCTCAGCTACCGTTCCCAATTTGAATCACGTTGATTGATGAAGTATTCGCGACGCTATGGCTTTCGACGCATTAGGGGGTAAGCTGTAGGAGGAGAACTTAACTCAATCTCAAAGGTTCAATCAAAGTTCAAGAATCTCACAAGGAATTAGAAGGAGCAAGAGAAAGGTTGGGATAGGAAGAGAGGGATGAGAGGGAAGGTCCCAAGAGAGTCCCCAACCAAGGAAAACCCCATAAGCACAAAGATTCCCTCCCTATAGGAACCCCAACTTTGACATTTGTCCCTTCCCAACCAATCCATCCAAGTTGGCCACCCTTGCCAACCTAGCTTGGTTGTTCCCAACCAATTTGCAGCTGTTACAGTAGAGTGACAAGTTTCCCCAACCCCAAAGGTCCCAACTCCATATAAAGTCACCCCACAACTTCACTTAGTAACCGCCGCAATTGTAACGCAAGCTCATGAACTTTGAATCTTCATAGCTTTCGCGTTCTTGCTCCGATTGAAGCGATTCTTGTTGCGTCGGAAAGATCTTCTCAAGATCTATTATCACAAATACCTGCTCAGACAGAATAACACAAAACACATTCCCAAACTCCAGAACACACCACACACAAATGCTTGCACATTCAAACCACACATGCAAGTTGAAAAAACATGGGATGGGAGGCAGACAGAATGTGATAGCATATGATGACATCACACAACAATCTCCCCCTCTGGCTGCCAACCATCATCGACCATACCACATCTCAAGCATGCATACTCAATGCACACTCATCCCAGCAAGCTTCATGCCCTTCCAATGATCCGCCTCCGCCAGACGCTTAGTGAAAATATCTGCTGCCTGCTGATGGGTCTTCACTATCTCCAGCCGCACCTCCTTATCAAGGAGTCTCCTCACCCAATGCCACTTAGGCCTTATGTGTTTTGTCAGCCCATGCAGACAAGCATTCTTGGCGAGCTTCACAGCGGACTCATTGTCACAAAACACAACTGTCGGCTTCTCCTGACCAACTCCCAACTCCTCCAACAAACGCCTCAGCCATACCACTTCCTTGGCCCCATGGTGTAAGGCCATGTACTCAGTCTCACATGAAGACAATCCCACCTCATTTTGCTTCTTGCTGCGCCAGCTCACAGCACCACCTCCTAGCAAGCACACATAACCCCCAATGCTGGTGCCATCCGCTTTCACTGAGTTGAAGCTAGCGTCAGTATAGCAACTCAAGAGCATCTCTCCACTCTTCACATCTGCAGCACCTCTCTGCAACCGCTGCCTCACTCCACTGTACTCCAATCCCACTGATGCCGTAGCACTCACATAGCGGACCAACCTCTTGGCCGCTTCCAGCTGCTCATGACTAGGGCGTGAGACCACACTAGCCAACCGTGATGTAGCAAATGCAATGTCAGGCCGTGTATGATTTGCAGCATAATTCAGCGACCCAACCATCGAATGAAACAGCTTCCTGTCACTATCACCCACTACCTCCTCATCAGCACATGGCTCCACAGTGAACCCCGAAGGTAGTGGTGTTGCTGGCTTTCCCCCATCTTGCAGCCCATACTTCTCAGCCAGCCCCTCACAGTACTTCCTCTGGTGCAACCTCAGCACACCCTTTTCCACATCTCTCTCCACGTGCATCCCCAAGTAGTACTTCACCTCACCCATCTTGGAGCACTTGAACTGCATCTCCAGCATCTGCTCTGCGCTGTCCAGCAAAGCAGTGGATGCAGAAAAGAGAAGGATATCATCCACATACACCAAGAGCATGAGGATTTCATCCTTCTCCTGCAGCAGGAACAGGCTGGGGTCACACTCACTCTTCTTGAAACCCCCAGCCAACAGCGCCTCCTCCAACTTGTGATACCATGCACGAGGCGCCTGCTTAAGGCCATAGATGGCCTTCTTCAGCCTGCAGACCCTGCCGCTCCCGTCATCCAGCCCCTCTGGCTGCTTCATGTACACCTCCTCCATAATGATCCCATTCAGAAAGGCAGTCACAATATCCATCTGCCGAATCTTCCATCCCAGGAGTGCAGCTATCGCCAACAGCACCCTCAGTGTTGTTCCTTTCCCCACAGGAGCAAACACCTCATCATAGTCCTTCCCCTTTGTCTGCTGAAACCCCCGTGCCACAAGCCTAGACTTGTAGCGGGTCAGCTCCCCTTCAGGTCCATACTTGTGCCTGTAGATCATCTTGGAAGTGATTGCCTTCTTTCCAGGAGGCAAGTCACACAGGTCCCATGTCTCGTTCTCAATTAGGGACCCGAACTCCTCATCCTCACTCGCCTTCCACTTCTCCCCATTTGGTCCATTCAAGGCCTCTTCTCGAGTCTTGGGCTCAGGGATTGGTGCCCAGTAGCAGTGAGCGATCTCATCTTCCTCAATCTGCTCAACCACACTCCCAGCCTGCACCACATTCGGCTTGCCTCTTCCCCCATAGGTCAGCCTCACTGGAGGGCGCACATCCCTCCTAGGACGCTCAGGCGGGTGTGGAACTCGAGGTGGAGACTCATGCTGCTGCTGCTGCTGCTGCTCTACTTCAGCTGCTCCCCCTTCCTCAGTCACCCCAGACATCTCCTCCTCTGACACTGCAACCTCCACCTGTCTTGAAGGCTGCTGCACCTCATCTGCCTCCACAATGAGCGGTGTAGATGGAAGCTTCTGTTGCTGCTGCTTCCATTCCTTGTAGTACAGGGACTCAAGAAACTTCACATCCCTTGACACTGTCAACTTCTGGGTGGTCAAGTCCCATAGCAGCCACCCCTTGTGATCCTTTGCAATCCCCAAGTGCACACCCCATCTTCCAGAAGCCTCCAACTTCCCCCTTTTCTCCTTAGGCACATGAAACACCACCATGCACCCAAATGCCCTCAGCATGTTCACAGCTGGAGCACTCCCATACCACTTGACGTATGGGATCCACTCCTTATCTCCAACTGTAGCCAGCACCCTGTTCTTCACAAGGGCGACCTGCCTCAGTGCAGACACCCAAAACGGATCAGGCAGCCCTGCACGCCCAAGGAGAGTGCGTGCCCCCTCCTGCAGGGTCCTGTTGAACCTCTCAGCCACGCCATTCTGCTGTGGGTTGTAGGGCACTGTCAGTTGATGCTGGATCCCCTTCCTCTTCAACTCCCCCTCAAAATCAGCTCCAATGAACTCCCCACCATTGTCACTACGGATCACCTTCACCTTGTGTCCGCATTCCCTCTGAGCTCTCGGCATCCACTCCTTAAGGACAGCCGCTGCCACCTCCCCCTTGCTCTTCAAAGGGTAAACCCACACTGCCCAAGTGTGGTCATCCACAATTGTCAAGAAATAGCGGCTGCCTGAGAGGGAAGGGGCTCTTGTGGGCCCCACCACATCCATGTGCACAAGTGCAAGTGGGGTCTTGGATGGTCCAGTTGCACTGTTGAAGGGGAACTTGGAGAACTTGGTCTCCAAGCATGTAGGGCAGCTCCCAATCTCCTTCACTTCCCCTTTCACCTCCAAGCCCTTCAGGCTCCCATTCTTCACCAACTTCTGCAGCATAGGGAAGTTCACATGACACAACCTCTCATGCCATGTCTCCCAATCGGCCTCTCCACTCCTTGATGAAGCCTTAGCCCATGCCGCACTCGCATCCACACCAGCAAGCACCTCACCATGTGTCTGCTGCTTCTGCACTTTCTTGACTGCTTCCAGCACCCCATCAGTTGGTGCAGTTGCATCTCCTCCTGCTGTTGCCTTTGCCACTGCTGCCGTTGCTGCTGTTGGAGTCTTCCCATTCCAAGGGATGATGGGCAGCTGCCACAGGTCCTTGATGCAGCTGGTCTCCTCTTCCAGACTCCACAGCACCTTCTTCCCAAGCTTAGCACGGCAGCTGGTTGGTCCAAAGGTCACTTCGGCCTTACTCTTCTGCAGCCGCCGCACAGAGAGAAGGTTAGCAGACAAGCCTTTAACCAGCAGAACATTCCCAAGCCCCACAAGCTCCCCATTAGCTCCCTTAACCTTGGCATTCCCAACACCAATCACGGGGAGCAAAGCACCTGACGCTGCTGCCACATACTTAATCTTCCCAGGGGGTTTTACCTCATCAAGCAAATCTGCCCGTGGGGTCATGTGACTGGTGCAACCCGAATCAATCACCCAGTGCGTGAGAGGGTGCATCACAACCTTTCCCACAAATCCCACATCACCCTCATGCCCATGCACATCCTCAACCATAAGAAACAAACCAGGATAGGCATTACCTTGTGCACCTTCACCTTGTGCACCTGAGCCTTGCACAGCGCCACCTTGTGCGCGTTCACCACTGGGTGGCTTCATGCCTGGAGGTGCCCATCCCTCCGGCCTGCTGAAGCACTTGAACCAAGGATGCCCTATCTTCTTGCAGTACCAGCAGGTGCCCTCCATTCTGGTACTCCCCCTGCCACTAGAGCTCCCATGCCCCTCATTATAGTCACCTCGGCCTCTACCTCTGCCAAAGCTCCTCCCACGGCCTCGGCCTCTCCAACCCCCTCTTCCTCTGCCGCGCCCTGCAGCTCCATACCCCTCAGCAGTCTTAGTGGCAGCACCGCCTCCCACATGGCGTCTGCGGAAGTCCTCCTGCAGAATCTGCTGCCTTAGCCACTCAGGTGTCCATTGATCTTGTTGAGAGTTGAGGGTGGGGATGAGGTTGTCCCAAGAGTTGTCCAACACCGAGATGATCTTGGTGCACTGCTGCAGCTGAGATACACTGCTGCCCGCTGCTGCCATCCTTGCATAGGTGTCCTTGATCTTGTCAAGGACCGGCTTCACATCGTCCCCTGGTCGCATGGAGATGGCAGCAAGTTCCTTCTCGAGCACGATCACCATCAGGAGAGTGTTGGGCTGAATCACATCGCGTAGTAGTTTCCACGCCCTTGGACCCGAATCATCCGCTTCCACAAGATCCTTGATGTGCTCGAACATCTCCTTGTTGACCGATTGAAGGATGAGGTCGAAAAGCACCGTGCTTTTCTCAATCCACCGTTCACGTGCTTCGCCTTCTTCCGGCATCTTCTCTTCCCCAACAGCAATCTTCAGTAGCTTGTAGCGTTTGAAGGCACTCCTCATCCGTCCGCTCCATTCCTCATAGTTGGAGCCATCCAAAGCTTCAACTTTTGATGGCGGCGGCTCACTTGTCTTCTCAGGTACAGCTCCTCTTCCATTAGCATCTCCTCCTCTCTCATTCATCTTCTCCTTGAGAAATGACGAATTTCAGCTCCCCTTTGCTGTCCACACTCAGCTCCCTCGATATTTTCACAAGTGTCGGCGTCCACGAAATTTCGGCAGAGTTTCCCCTTAGCGGAAGACACATCCAACCTTTAGAACACCACTTAGGCACACCCACAGGCCATGGTGGGTCTAGAAGGGTCTTCAAACTTCTGTAGACTCCTCTCAATGTCCTTAATATTGCTCTGATACCACTTGTTAGGATTAAGGACGGAGTCTAGGTGAACTTAGGAGCTAGAATTACTCAAAATATAAATCCGAAATTCTGGACAGAAAAGTCGTCTTTACAAGAAACGACGTCGACGAAAAACTAGCCGTTGGAATGTCGCGAAACTTGGATATGTTGTAGCTCTTAATCTCAGCTACCGTTCCCAATTTGAATCACGTTGATTGATGAAGTATTCGCGACGCTATGGCTTTCGACGCATTAGGGGGTAAGCTGTAGGAGGAGAACTTAACTCAATCTCAAAGGTTCAATCAAAGTTCAAGAATCTCACAAGGAATTAGAAGGAGCAAGAGAAAGGTTGGGATAGGAAGAGAGGGATGAGAGGGAAGGTCCCAAGAGAGTCCCCAACCAAGGAAAACCCCATAAGCACAAAGATTCCCTCCCTATAGGAACCCCAACTTTGACATTTGTCCCTTCCCAACCAATCCATCCAAGTTGGCCACCCTTGCCAACCTAGCTTGGTTGTTCCCAACCAATTTGCAGCTGTTACAGTAGAGTGACAAGTTTCCCCAACCCCAAAGGTCCCAACTCCATATAAAGTCACCCCACAACTTCACTTAGTAACCGCCGCAATTGTAACGCAAGCTCATGAACTTTGAATCTTCATAGCTTTCGCGTTCTTGCTCCGATTGAAGCGATTCTTGTTGCGTCGGAAAGATCTTCTCAAGATCTATTATCACAAATACCTGCTCAGACAGAATAACACAAAACACATTCCCAAACTCCAGAACACACCACACACAAATGCTTGCACATTCAAACCACACATGCAAGTTGAAAAAACATGGGATGGGAGGCAGACAGAATGTGATAGCATATGATGACATCACACAACAGCCTGGTGAGCATGAAAAACAGGTAAGGTGAGTCGTTTGTAGAAAACACTATCACGTGTTGGTACGATTTGACTCCTGCGAAGATAAATAATTTTCCATGCGTAAAACTGCTTCCCCACTTAGCCCTTTCAAAAAAAAATCCGAGTGCTGCAGTTAGAGGTCAGTATTGAATGATACACCTAAAAACTCATAAAAGTTTTGTGTTGCCCACATGTGTTGATAAAAAGCATCTTGGCAGAGCACATGTATTGACCACAACAACTGTCGAGATACCAAGTCTTGGGTCCTGCAATAATCCGAACGAGATTAGCATTAACCTGAGGTAAGGCCATATTATTAGGTTGTTCAATTGAGCTCTTTTCCTCCTCATTGTCGAAATCTGAATCAGTTGCATAAACTGTAGTAACAAAACTGAAATTTTGTTTTCCGCAGGAGTTGTTGTCGGTGGATTCTGCTTCACGGGTTGCTTGGACTGCTGCGACGGCTGCTGCGCTCCTCTTTTCTTAACAGCTTGAAGCTTGTTGCAGTATTTGATGTTGTGTCCATCCTTTTTGCAGTAGTGACAGAAAAACTTGTTGATGCACTTTGCAAGCGTTGAATAGAAACTGACATTAACTGGTCCCTTTTTGTTACGTGCGATTTGCAGGTCACGGTCTTGCTGCTCTGATTGAAGAATCGAACAAATTTCGGCTTCAAAAAGATTTGGTTGAATGCGAAGAAGTGATCGACACTGCCGCCAAGGCCGGCAAGAAGAACTGTTACAAACATGTCCTTTGGGAAGTATCCGCCACATTTTTCCAGTTGGTTGCGAAGTGTGCGAGCCGTGTTGATATAATCCGAAACGTTCTTGTTGCCCTGCATCTGTATAGTTGTCTGTTGTGAGAGAATCTAACTCACGGAAATGGTGTCCTGTGCCATATACAACCCCTTCAAATGCTTCCATGCAGATTCGGCTGGAGTCAAGCTGGTGTGAAGGGAGCGTATCCCAAGTTGCTCTTTCAGTGATAGATTTCGAATAAGAACTGTATAAGCGCTAAATGTAGCATGAAGAAAACTTTGCTTCTCCATAAGTGTTCCTGTAATAGGATATGAATAATAGCCACTGAAGAAGGGCCACAATCCAGCAGATTTTGCAAGGAGCTCGAACCCGAAACTCCAGGAGTAGAAGTCAACGCCATTAAAAGGTATTGTTGCCTTGATTTGCATATTACTTTAAATATATTGGAGCCTGAAAAACAGGTCCAATAAAAGAAATTTGCTGCTGCAGAAACAGTTGTTGCTATTGCTGTTGCGACTGTGGTTTTTGTTGTTGCTGCTGAAACTGTTGTTGCGCTTGTTGCTGCTGTTGCAGAAATTGGAAATGTTGATGTTGAGCAAGGGTAAAGGCAAACGAAGAACTGGAGCTTGGAGCAGCTGCAGCTTTTGCATAACTGGAACTATCAAGACTCATGCCACTAAAAGCCGCTGCTACTGATGTTGCTGCTTGTTGCGATGGTGCTTGTTGCTGTATTGCAGGTGCAGAGGACGAAGTCCCTGATGGATGCATAGTAGGCAACCCTTGCTGCTGTTGAGGCATCCCAATTGAAGCAAATGCAGGTGGAAAATTTCCTGCTTCAGAATCACCTGCTTGGCCTGTGAACACTTTTCGGATTTGTAATACCCCTGAGTCCAGTTGTTGAGGAACCATATGTTGGAGCTGATGATGGTCCGTCCAGTCATTTTCAGAGTTGACGATAGTCTTAATTCTCGATAGCTCTCATACGATAAAAGAATTTGTAAAACGGTAGAGAAAACCAAGTACAGAATCTGCAAACACAAGTACTTGAAGTAGAAAGTAATACAAGAAGAGTTAAAATACGAGAATAGCTAGAAGCAAGGGTGAACAAGGGAAATATAGGGTTGGAGACGTAGCCTCTAAGATCATACACCTATCGAGCCTATAACTTCTACATACTAACACATGTATAAGTTGACACACCCCTTAGGCTAGATAAGGGGTAGTGCTGAGCAAGAAACGAGCAACTCAGGGTGGCCCTACTAGTCCAACCGCTGAGGCAAGGGTCCGAAGATCAGTCAGCAAGAGTACAAACAAGACAAGAGCAAACCGAGGCAGCACTACTAGTCCGGCCACTGGAAGAGAAGCCACAAGGCCGGTCTGGAAGGTTTAAATAAAGAGGAGTACACAATCAAGGTCCTAGCCAGTGAGAGTCTACAGGAACCAGACCAAGCTGCAAGCAGTGCCGCTGATGATCTTTAGGCGCAAGCGCCTTAGTAAAGATATCAGCTGTGTTGGCACCGGAGGCCAAAGTGTACTACGCGGGCCTGGCGATGCTGCTGTAGCTTGTGCAGGAGGAAGTACTGCAGCTGGATGTGCTTCGCTCTGCACTCAAGTCGTGGCTCCTGACACAGGAGAATCATGGCCCTGTTGTCAGCGTACAGAACCGGGGCAGAGCTAGGCTGCTCACCTAAGTCGACGAGCAAGAAGGTCAGCCAGCAGAGCTCCTGTGCCGCCATGGCACCGGCTTAGATCTCAGCCTCACGGCTAGACTGGGCAACAGACGACGAGCGAGTGGATCTCCACGAGATGACACCTGAACCAAGGCTAAAGCAGTAGCCCTGGGAGGACCTGAGGGTCTCAGCATCGTCTGCCCAAGAAGCGTCTATGTGCCATGAAAGGACCACTGGCCTGCGTCCTCTCAGCACTAGCCCCATGCCCGATGTACTCGCTAGATAACGCAAAACCCCCTTAGTAGCCGACAAGTGCTGTGGTCGGTGTCTGCCTGTGGCCACAAAGCGAGCCAGGATGCTGAGAGGGTATGCGAGATTATGACGACTGCAAGTCATCAGGTACATGAGGCAACCCATCTGCTCTGCGTAAGGACCACAGGGCTCTGCTGACTTCTCAGGCACTGGAGCTGAGAGCATGTGGTCTACTGGCAGAGGTGTGGGCTATGCGGAGGAGAACAGAAGACCGAACCTCTGAAGGACCTAGCGCACCAAGTGTGACTATGTGACAGTGATGGTGCGCGCTGCTTTGTCCCTGGAGATCTGCAAGCAAAGGTAGGGGCGCAGCTCTACTAGGTTAGTGCAGGTGTGTCTTCTCAGCAGCTTGGCCTTCACGGAGGCAAGTGCGTCTCTGACTGCAGTAGCGAAGACCAGGTCGTCTACGTAGACGCTGTAGTCGAGGGAGTGGAGCTTGTAGTCACGCTGTGCTGCTACGTGTAGCACCACCCAAAGAGTAGTCCTCTTCGGGGTCGGGACGAAGGTCTGAAAGAAGTCCGGCCCCTCCCGCTGACTGAAGCCTCTAGCCACGTAGCGCCTTGAGTACAAGCGACTCTCCAGGGGGGCGCTTCACCTTGAAGAGGCACCGGCCATCGAATACGTTCACCCCAGGTGGGGGAACTACGTCGACGTAGGTGCCGGTGGATCTCCAAGATGCCATCTTCGCGTCCATGGCAGCTATCCACTGAGAGGCCCAGAGTCCCGAGGTCGCCTCAGCGTACGTGCGAGGGGTCAGGATGTCAAAGGCGTCTGGGTCACCCTCAGGGACTAGCAGCATAGAATAGAGATGGAGAGCAGCCTCTGATAGGAAAGCAAGCTCGTACTGCATGTCCTCTAGGATGTCACTGCCAAGGGCAGGAGCACCCCTGACAGACAAAGGATGGAAAGGGTCATAGACCAGAGCGGTGGCGTAGTCAAGGCAACGGGTAGAGGCGAAGTCAGCGACAGCAGCGACAAGAGCGTCAAGACTCGAGACAGGAACAGATAGGCCAGTAACGAGGGAGGCAAGGACCCGAAGAACAAGAGGACGAGCAGCACGAAGATAGTCAGACATAGGGGAAGGTAGGAGAGGAGGACGAGATGCATGGGAACGAAGCAACATAGGGTGAGAACGCGGAACAGGAGAGACAGGACGAGCACGAGAGGGACGACGAGACCAGACGTGAGACGGAGGCGTCGGTTCAGGAGACAGAGGAGGAGTAACAGGAGGGGAATGAGGTGGGAAACGGGCCAGGGATGAGTCCGACGGAGGATACTCAGGGCCCTGCACAGCAAGGGGAGGAGGCGGCAGGGGAGGCGCAGGCGAGCGGTCGGGGGACGGAAGGCCGAGCAGGCGAAGGGCGGACACCAGCGGCGATTGCTACTGCTGCTGCTTGACACTGACACCTGGACAGC